TGTCACATGACTGAGTAATATTTAAGACAGCTAAAAAGATTCATATTGAAATTTTGGGCACCTAAGCCCTATAAATTAAATCATGCTAATACACTAATATCAGTTGTGCAAAATGTTTTTTATCTTACATTACATCCATACAAACTATCAAAGTCTATTACAACTGTTTCCATTTAGTTGTGTTTTCATTTTCTGACAATTCAAATACTGGAATTAAGCTGCATGTTTTCATACTAATCTGAAGGGACATCTGACATACATTATTGCACTTAACTTACCATTCATTGATTCCTCTTTGTTCTCATGTGGAACTGAGTTATCCATCATTTTTACTTCACCCTCTTCTTTGTTGTCCATCTCATTGCCTGTATTATTTTCATCTTCAGTATCTTCTGTGGCATACTGTTCTTCTAGTGACCTCTCAAGCGAACGCTACAGTATAAAATAAATATTTATATTACCAACACCCTCATAAACAACTGTTTGAATAGTAATTATATAGTATTTAAAAAATGTAATCATAATGTCTTCATTATGCTTCTAGTGTGAATGAAGTATATTAGTATGTTAAGAAATTCAGCATACCAAAAGAAAATGTGAATTATGCAACAAAAATTCAGTTTCACCGTGTTACACCACTCACTCACTCACTCACTCATGGAGCTGAGATGTTCCTGATACGCTGCAAACTGTGTAGCTACTCAAGAACTTCCCAGCATTTTATGGAACCTGAAAGTTCATTACCCTGTTCGTAAGAGCTCTTCACTGGTCCCTATCCTGAGCCAGATCAATCCCAACCTACCACCAAGATCCATTTTAATATAGTCCACCCACCGACATCTTGGTCTTCCTAGTGGTCTCTTTCCTTCTGGCTTTCCCACCAATATCCTATATGCATTTGTCTTTGCCCCATTCGTGCTACAAGCCCCACCAATCTCATCCACCATGACTTTATCATTCTTGGCAAAGAGTACAAGTTATGAAGCCCCCCATTATGCAGTTTTGCCAACGTCCTATCACTTTGTCTCCCTTCGATCAAAGATTCTCCTCAGCACCCCATTCCTACAGAGACAGGATAGCATAGTTGGTATAGCGACTTGCTACGGGCTGGATGACTAAGGGGTCTGAGTTTGAGTCCTAGTGGGGATTTCACTTCTCCATGTCAGCCAGACCAGCTCTGGGGTCCACTTAAACTCCTATCCAATTGGTACCAGGGGCTCTTTCCCTGGGGGTAAAGGAACAGGGGCATGAAACTGACCACTCACCTCCAGCTAGTGGATCTATACATCCAATCCCCCACATACCTTCAAAGCATAGTTCTTAATTAGCTAAGCACAGGGACAACTTTCTTAAACATGCTAAGTCTATGTTCCTCTCTTAATGTCTTGAGACTGAATTTCACACCTATACAGAACCACAGGCAAAATTATAGTTTTGTATACTCTAATTTTTACGTTTTTAGACAGTAGATGAGAAGATGAAAGATTCGGGACCAAATGGTAGCAAGCATTACCAGAATTCAGTCTCCTCTTAATTTCCTCCTGAATCTTTGGTATAGTCATTCCCAATTATCTGAACAGTGCCACATTTTTTAAACATCTGTTAGCTATCTTTATGTCATGATTTTGCACTGCATTCTGGTGATGAGACAGCAACATATCTATGTTACACCATAAAATAATTCTGCATCCCTGAACATGATGTGGACCCCATTTCTTAAGGCGGATGGAGGGATGCGACAGGACATCCATTTATACTACATTATATGTCATAATCATAAATAACAGAACAGTTCCTCTAAATCTTTATTAGATTACTAGAGCCTGTATCAAAATTAATTTGAGACCTTTAATCACTGAAATTTATAAATAATTTGTACTGAACAAAAATTCATAAAACCAGAAATTTGAACTAGAATTCATGACACAAATCCTAAACAAATGCATGCATAGCACAACAATTCTGTGTTCAACCCCTTACTGCATCTAGATTTTCTATTCATTAATGCAAGAGCTTCCAATGTAAAATCAGTTCAGTGATTCTTAGCTGAGGTGACAGCATAAAAGTAACTTTTAAGTATCTTCAAAACTGTAAAAGTAAAGAATATGCTGGGCACAAAATATGTATTTAATTTTCCTTAATTTCTGTTAACAAATGTATATCTTAGTGTAAAGCCAGAATTCGAATTTGTACACAAATATTAGTGAAATTCCCCAATATTAAATAAAAGAAATTTAACAACCCTTGAGCCACTATATGCACTGCAAGCAGCAGGAGGAAAGAGATAATGTGAAGCTAACGGGCACACTTTTGTAACTTTACTGTGAACATGGGGGGGGGGGGAACACACAAAATAACAATTACTACTGCCACCCCACCTGTGTGCAAATGTCAGTATGTTCCAAGATTCTACGATAATGAAACCATTCCTGTAATTACATTATATTAACCTTATACGACAAGAACAGCGATTCTAAATCTCTTTAAGTACTATGGTATTCTACTTTGAGCGTAAAAGATTATCATCTAGGAATACCTCTAATCGAGAGTAATGGTATTAGTAGTGAAAAATGCAATGCTTAGCCAGGTGGACCACATACATTTGCCACTGCAATAATGTGATGCATGTAAAGGTTAATTTGTTCTGATTTTCATGTGCAAATGCCCCTATATACACTTTTCAGGAGGCAAGAATATGATGTCTAAAGAATTGCATTATTATGATTTCCAACTTTCATCACCACCTCAGAAACACGTGATACAGAAAATGGAGATAGATAATGAGGATAAAGGAAAACTCTAAGAAGGATTATGATAGACTGACAACAGAATTTTGGATGAAATAAAATTGTGATTTTTAAGTTACATATGTAAGTACAATAATTTATAATATAAATAAAGGCCAAATATACTGTTTAACCTTTACTATAAAGGCATCACACAATCTGCCAGCACATGCAATGCACTGGTTCAGGAGGTCTAGTGCAATTTACAATATAAATAAAGGCCAAATATACTGTTTAACCTTTACTATAAAGGCATCACACAATCTGCCAGCACATGCAATGCACTGGTTCAGGAGGTCTAGTGCAATTTACAATATAAATAAAGGCCAAATATACTGTTTAACCTTTATCATAAGGGCATCACACAATCTGCCAGCATACGCACTGGTTCAGGAGGACTAGTGACAAATTTTTTACAATATAAATTCCATTACTTTGATGAAATGGTAAATCAGTCCTGTTCTTAACTAATTAAGTGCTACACCACAAAAAGGTATTGGGAAGTGTATGTACAGATCCACATAATCTTAACCGCAGCACTACTTACAGGTCAGTGGTGAGCTTCATGCCCTGGCCATTTCACACCCAGGGAAAAAGAGCCCCCACTACCCAGTGGATAGGAGGCTGCTTGGGCCCCAGAGCCAGTCTGGACAATGTGCTGGAGAAAAATCTTGCCCTTATTGAGACTCTAACTCTAGCCTGTACCTAGTTGCTACACTGTGTTATCCTGACTCATAAAAGTCAATTATGGCAAAGTATAAATCGATTCACCAACACCATAGTAGCAGAAGATTTAATCTGATGGATGAAGATTAAGGGTGAATTTAATTATTTCCCAGTTTCAAAACTACTAAACTAATGAAAGATCCAATATCAGAATTGACACAGAATTCCATATATAAATTGACACTGAATTATTTATAGGTTAATCCAGTTTGGGGCATATTATATTACCTCAACATTTATATGTGAATTTAAAGGCAATAGAATAAAGTCTTTAAAAGTAAGTGTAACATTATAATGAATATGCTAACCTTGTAATCATCATAGCAAAGAGGGTGATATGTTTTTCCATCTACCCTCAATGCTGAACGTAAGTGCCACTCTTCTTCGTCGTCGTGAAAAAATTGTTCAAATTTATCATGGCATACAGCACAAAATGCGTCCTCAGGATTTTCTCCAGCGCAAACACTGGGAACTTCTTGTATCTCTTTTTCTTCACCTTCCGCAGCCTGCTGGGTTTCAAACCAGCTTTTTGCTGAAAATAAAGAATTACATGCCAACATCATAATACTTTTTGATATGTAATAATGCAAGTTGATGCACGTTCCATCATTTTCTTTTAATGTATCTTCCTCTCATCTTAACAGTCATCACCTGCACAGACAAAGTGTTAAATTCTCTATCTTCAGCTGCAGCTCCTTACTGCTATGGTCAGGACTCAGTGCTGGTAGTGTGATAACATGGTTTAAGCCTAGATGTCACTGATAATAAAGAACAGAAACCAGAACGAAGAGGGTAGCAAACAACTCTAACTGATTCACGCTAGCTTCTTCTTTGCTTTATTTTCTGACCCTGAAGATGGAGGCAAACACATTCTTCCAGAAAGTGGGTTGACTTTCGATGGACTACGTGGTATACTTGCCTCCCAGAAGATAGGACTCTTTATGAAAACTATGATCTTGTGGGTTGCAGTGCAATGTGGTTTGTTTCAGAAGAGCATACTGCTTCCAACTTCAGGATCAAAGCAGGAAACAAGCATAAGCAGGCAGCAAGCTCAGCTGTTGCTTTCTTGCATGACTCACTCTTCAACCCAGAAGATGGACAGCAGTGTGTTCCTCTAAAACACTGAGCTTTCCCTGAACTGCAGTGTTACAACCCAGAAGACTCTTTAAGTGTTCTCTTTTACACAACCTACTTTCTGCTGAAATTACTGTTTAAACTGGTACTCATGACTTTTCTAATGAAGGTCACCATAAAAACTAGTTCTGTCAGTTACAGGCATTTCAGAAGTGAAGCACAAGCATGGAATGTATCATTCAACTGAAATGAAAGTGAAGTAGTCAACAGTTTGAATGATTCATTTATTAAACTACTTTTAGTTGATCTGTACCCATCACTAAGTCAGAGGCTAGGAAGCAACAGAAGCTGGATGATGTTTTTTTTAAAAGAAATCATGGCCAGCAGATTCACCAAATACCTCTATACAGAAATTTTACCATCAGCCATCACTGATCACAAATGCAAAACTTGACATTGCTGATTGCTTCATTCAATCCAATCCCCTTTTCATCAACAACAAAAGCAAACTTCTCTCCATATACCTCAACGATTCACCCGTAAGAGCACCCACCTATCCATTAACAGGCCATCTACCATGATAACAGTGAATGTTAAATGTTATTTTATTATTAATATAACCTGTTTCTGCAATATAAAAATTGTTTAACAGTGCTTAAAATACATTAATATATTTCTTGGAGGGGGGGGGAAGATAGAGGACTATGCCTCAGGACAAATGGGCAAGTGGTGCAGGTTTTTTGCACCTATTTATAGCGCATTATGTCATCCTATTTCTCTGCAATGTCTAGAATTCTTTTTTATTTTCACAGTAACTAACTATAAACATAACTTATTCATACTGGAATTATAAATGCTATTACTATTAGAAAGACGATGTATTACACAGCACATGCTGTTGACCAAGAGTACTCTCGTACCTTTGCATGTCTCAGACATTTTCATTTATTCTTATAAGGAAACTGTTTTCAATTTATGTTATATCACCCCTACTACAACTTTTTTTTTGAACGCAAATGTTGCATAAATCAAGGACTTGTAGCTTGCTATGTTACCACTTTCCATGAACAACACACCATTAAGATATATTGGGAGCATGGAGAGGCTCTAAGCTGAATAAAAACGCCTATTTTTTTTTTGGCTTCATGACCTGGAAACCTTCACCCCATCCTCAAATCCATTAGATACAAATTGCATATCATACCTCTTTCCTCAGTGTCTTCAATTTCTTCAAACCGGATCCAATCTGAGGCATGATAATACCACTCTCTACTCCGAGCTTTGCGAGTATTGTCCTTGTTACGCCTGTTTTGCCGGAAATGCCAATCTAAATGTTGGCGGTACTTCATAATCTGTTCCGGAGGGAAACGTATCCCACAGGAACTACACTGAATACCAGAGTACAGGACAGCCACTGCACCGGGACGACGTCTAGAAGTAAGACAATGATAACAACAGAGTTAATAATAATAATACAAAACCAATCAAGAAAGCAGAATTCAGAATCTGATGCTTATAACAATTTAAGTCTACGGCATATCAGTCATTCAGCAACATAACTGTTTCAAAATGAGGACTTAAGAAGTTTAAATGGCAAATACTTACAATTTCAATGTTTCAGGCTGCCCGAAGTCAACGGTCTTTATAGACTTTGCTTCTTCCTCCTTTTTACTATCTGCATCAGATTTTGCGGCCTGTGGAATAATTCCCGCTGCCACCAGCCTCTGAAATAGCTCAGTTGCATTAATTTCAGCAGGAGGGAATGGGATGTTGCTTAGCCCAGCACCATGTAACTGTGCCTCTGGAACACCTATCACAGAAACATTTCAAATTACCACAAACCGACTGTCAGCACAGTAACAACTGTGTCACAGGGTGGTGTGACCATGTTGCTGTACATACCAGGTACGGAGTCTGGAACCTGAGGGGGCAGTTCCTGGGAACCTGACTGACAATCTTGAGAGCTCTGTTCCACCCGGTAACCAAAACCTGATGCTGGTGCCATCATAGTTGGCATCAAGCTCATCAATATTTCAAGATAAAGAAAGCAATCTTCTGGGATGTGGCGCCATGCAGATATTGTGTTAACCAATGTTTCAGAGCACATGCTCATGGTTTCCTCTTCCAAAAGTTGGTTAACACAATATCTACATGGCACCACATCCCAGAAGACGGCTTTCTTCACAGTCACCGCTGTGAAAACATCAAATCTTATATAATATTTCAAGATGCCCTATGTATGGGGAAGAATTGTCATCCAAATTATAAATTCCTATTAAATAAGCACTATAATGATAAATGTTCCCCATCTCGTGTATTCATCTGTATGGATTCTTAACATCTGAGAAAAAATCAAAGATGTGAATGACATGAAAATTATTTATGATAGGTTGGTATGTGCAATTTCTTGCATAGGCAGAAGTGTCTGATTATGATATTTTCAGAATGAAAAGAATGCAAGACATATGCCAGTAAATAAGATAAATTACAAGATGAACACACCAATGATAGATTATTATTTAAAGATGGTTTGTTTCTTTGGTTATTTGATGCTGCTGATCAGTATATATAGAAACTATGTACTTCTGAATGTAGGAGGGGTAGTACAATGATACACTGATTTATATGACTGAATAACTTAATAAAATGATCTCCCACATGATACACCAACACAATTCACAGTAACTTTGATGCACTGAAACAGTCAACTTACGTGGTCTATGTTTTTGTTGTTGAATAGGAACAGGTCCTTTCACTGCATTATCTCTATGGAAGTGTCCTGCTGAGTTTGTTGCATGTTTAGTCTCATGAGGTAAATCTCGGCCCCTGTTTGCACCAAACTGTTTTCTCAGACCTCGTCTGCCTAAACTGCCAGTAGCTCCTGAAGAACACAAATACAGTGATTTTTCATTATTTATCTGTAGTTTATTTAACACTTCGCGGACCAGTGATTTAAATATTTAAATCACCCTGGGGACTGGCATTTTTAAACATACGTACTACCCTAACTTGTGCACTGTTCACTTTAAAAATTAATATAAAATCTCCTAATTAATTTTTTGAACTAAAATTTTTGGAGAACACTTACCAATGCTTCTAGAAGTGCTTGAGGGTGTGATATTTCTGGAAACTTTCCCCTTTGTGAAGTGGCATTACACAGAACTTGCAAATGTAGACATACTCCTTTTTTTGTGAACTGTGCAAACATGGCATTGCCTAGAAGTATTCTTCCCCTTGGAATGTTCACTCTTCACAATTTTCATGAGGGTATTTTTCCGCATTTCACTCAAGAGTCGCCCTTGGGGATCCACATGAGGCCTTCGTGGGGTGGGAGTTGTTGGCCCCAGTCATACTAAATCTTTGTGTGACCCTGGTTCTGCCGCCACCATCTGCACTGTAGCCCAGGCCTTTGCCACATTCATCAGAAATGCTTTGTATTCCAAATTTGAATCAGAGTTTAGATTTTTTGCTGTCCCCGCAATGTTACTACGTGCAATGTTATTACCCGCATTATCGTCGGAGCTACCGTCACTTTTACTGTCTGTGGCCACAATTCTTTGTTGTCCCCTGTCACTGTCGCTGTCTGAATGACAATTAATCCATTATTATGCGTCTCACAAGGCAGGTCAGCTAGGTCATCGAAGGAGAATTTGTCCTTGATCCATTCTCCCCATAAGCTACTGGCTGATACACACAGCTTGAAGAAGGCAAAGCATTTTCCTTTATAGTCAGTTAAGTAAACAGCGAGGTCAGGTTACTGCCTGCTAACTAAACATTCCAGAGTCTTATCACGCATCTGCAGGCGGTTGCGTGCAATGTAGGTGGCGCCAGAGTGAGGTATAGTGTGTTGCAACTTATTGTGTTCTAAAAACCTGTTAACACGTGAACGATCTGCCATGTTTAAAAGCGAAAAACCTTTTAAAGGGTGCGTGGTCCGCAAAGTGTTAACTACACTGTCAGTGACTTGGACTATATGATGTTGAATGATTGGATGACAGTAAATAATGAATTGTGGAAGGAAGTTACCATGCCATAATTTAAAGTAATATCAATCACTGGTCTAGAGTGACTGAATAAAATCATGACAAACCTCAGTTGGGATCAAGTCTGTTAACATTTGAGCAAAATCTGCTCAGTGAAAATATAATGAATTTTCATTATTACAACAGCTAGCAAAAGAATTCATTTTGGAAAAGTTACCAAGCAGCCATGAGAGCAAGAAAACATGTGAAATCTTAATAACTTTTGCACAATAAGAGTATTTAGACTAACAACAGCACATAAGGATGTGTTCCTAGATTAGCACAAAACAAGTACTTACCCACAACAGGTAATACAGGCTCATATCCTTGTGAGAATCTGCTGGATGCATCAAGAGAATCTTCTCTACCAAAGGTTAACGTTTTACTGTTTTCAGTCTTCGGCCGAGGATGTGATGGCAAGTGACCACCTTCCATATTAACAATGCTGACATATCCAGGCCTGATACCACGCGGTAACACGGTGAAACATATAAAGTGCTTCTTGCCATGAACAATAATGGGTTTTGGAAGTCCACCAAATTCAACTTCGATAGGCTGTCCATTAATTAACACAGTCGACAAAGCTTCGACAAAATGAAGTACGTGGGGTTCATTCTCAATGTCAAATCTGAAAACACAACAACAAAAAAATGCTAGTTGGTTAGTGTATAAAAGCATGCACAAAACCACTGCATTTATTTGCATACTTTATGTACTGCATCCCAGAGCTCTTAAATTACTGGGTTTTTGGACTTTGTCCAAACATTCGTCAGAACCCTTTATGATGTATAAGAATTCTTGAGTTTTAGAACTGGGGTATTTGAACTATGTGTGAAACTTTCCAAGAACGTTAAATTTATGGGAAACATTATGCCGAGCTTAAGAAATGTAATTAACACAATGACAAAGTTACTGTTTCACAACCATCACTTAAATTGTACGAAGCTTACAGATTAACCGCAAAAAAATTAAGGACCACATGCTGAATGACAATAACACATACAATGAAGAAAGCAGTCTTCTGGGATTTGGCACCGTGTATATGTGGTGTTAACCGACGTTTCGGAGGAACGTATCGCCTCCATCTTCAGGGTAGAAGAAAAAATATAAGAAATCTGCAAGCAAAGAGACCGTAAAAACCGGTAAATGCAGATTGCTTGCAGATTTCTTATATCTTTTCTTCTACCCTGAAGATGGAGGCGATACATTCCTCCGAAACGTCGGTTAACACCACATATACACAGTGCCAAATCCCAGAAGACTGCTTTCTTCATAGTCACCGCCGTGAAAGCCTCAAATCTTACAACACATACAACATTTTATTATTTTAAGAAATAATACATTTTCACAACAGTTGCATTCATAATCTTGGAAAAGGGAATAAGAAATTAATGTACTTTGACATAAATAAGGAATGCATACTTAATAAGATAACACAAATTAAAAAGTAAACAGAGTATTTAATAATTTTGTATCCCTAGCCCTTCAGGAAGTGACTATTTTACTTATACCAACAATTTTTCAGATTTCAAATTTTGGATTATCTAGGAAGTGGAGGCCTGCCTGTCTGCTCCACCCCCCCTCTTCCCCTCCATCATTCAACGATTACCTAAATTTTCATAACAGGTCAAACCGATTCTTTTCTCAAATATCAAACTCAGTTTGTATGTTTGCTTGTTATGTTGAGGGAATGTATCATCATGGTGGAAAAATATGCGAGCAAGGAACCAGCGTCTTAGACGGATCCACATCCCAGATGATGGCATTCTTCAGTCATTGCTGTGAAAACATCAAATCCTACATAGAACACTTCTTACTTTTCTTGATGAAAAGATTATGAATGCCCAGGAATTATTACTAACTGAGAAGGATCTAGATACACCATCCCTGTATTTTGTCAAATGTAAGGAAAATGTGATGCCAAGCAATCTCAATAGTGTCTTTTGATAAGAGTTTGTTGTGCCAATAATATAATGAAACAAAATGTTAAATGACAATCAAATGTATCTAATTTATTTCATTATCAGACATATTTATATGGTGACTTCACGTTTTATTACGTCTATTTGAAACAAATTTATAATTTGATGTATTCATTTGATTTGCACGTACGTAAACTACACGACTAATAATAAGAACATAAAATCAAGAGAAGTAAACGACATCTCCCACCATCAGGAGGAAAACAACATGACCCAATGTCAGCTCACGATATTTTAACATAATAACTAATTTTTTACATGCAAAAGAAAATTTTAATACAATTTTAAATACATTGGGAGGCTAATGTATGAAAAAGTGAATATCATATCGCGTGCAGTGGAAAATCCCAGTCAGAATACCAAGCAAATACGCTTAAAAGAAACAGCATCATACGTAAGTCTACTCTTCAAGAAGCGCCGTCATGAATGCCTGGGACAAACACCAAAACCCACCGTGATAATAACAAAATTTATATAGTGAGCATTATTCATAGCTTAAGTGCATATGGTTAAAACATCTTATGTGACAGTGTTGACAGTGACAGACTGAAGTGTTGTAAACTTGTATGTCACACCGGACTGTAAATTATCCACTCTGTGATGTATTCACTTAGAATGGACTGAATCACTAATAACACATCCCCCTACAAGTAACCTGAAATTAATTTCTATTTATTTATTTTAAATGTGCAACATAAAGCACTTACCTTTGTGGTTTGGCATCCAAGAACACTGGTACCATAGTTTGGGCATCAATGATTAAATTGATCTTGCCAGCAACCAGATCTGTCCGCTTCAACAGGCCAATTTTAACTTGAGGAGGTGGACCCTCCAACCTGACAACATGCATCTTCCCATCAATTTCAATCGTAACTGGAGGACCACCAAAGAAACATTCATACCACTTGCCATCAACATAGAGTTCACGAGTTGGTGCACCAAGTCGTATCCTGTGGATGAAAACATTAGGTGACCTTAAATACAATCAACCACTTTTTAGGTTGTATATGTATGTATAACTATGAGGGGGAAGGGAGAAAAACTCTTTCACACACACACTGAAGGTATGGGAAATTTCCAGTACAACAGGGATTGTGGTTATATTTCAATTCAGATATAACAGCTCATTTAAACCTGCTTCTATAATTCTGGTGGCAATATTATAACTGAGGGAAATGTCTGCAATATACAATATTAAAATTTGGTACTGTAACCACATACCATGGAAAACAATACCTACAATAACAAAGACTTTAATAAAAGCAACAATGAACATGTTAATTACTGACCTGTGCATACTTCCATCAATGATAAACTCTCTGTATGTATCATTCAAAGAACAGAGTATAGACTCTCTCTCATCAAATGTGACTGTTCGTGCACCTCCCTGGAAACCAATTTCTCGTGGATCATCCCACGCTAGCATCACTACAGCGGTGTCACCGTAGAAACGTATTTCCCTAGGCACACCACCTATATTAATAGTCCTCATTCTATCCTGTGCTATGAGCTTGAGAATCATAGGATCTGCTGGTGGAAGTTCATCATTTCCATGTGCCTGCTGCTGCTGCTGCAGCAAAGACGGAGCAGGTCTCCGAAATCTCTTATCCGAACGGCCATTAAAAGGTGACTCGAGCCTAAAAACAAAGACAAATACTGGTGAGAAACTTCAGTTCATGTACAGGGGATGGACAAAAATAAGGAAACACCTCATGAAATGCATGCCTGAATTGAAGTGTTTATTTTTTCGATGTTTGTAGGTCACGCTTTCATATCTGCCCAACACCACTACCTGTACAACCTCCGCAATATGTTGCAAGCCTCATTTGTTCTCAAGACAGTGTTCTGTGCAATTTTTTGTGCATCAAGTCAGAGCTAACAGAACTCGAACGCGGGCAGATAGTTGGGGCCCATATGGTGGGTGCTTCTGTAATCAAGGTAGCCGAGGTTTTTGGTGTTTCGCGAGGCACAGTATCCAAGATTATGACCGCATACAGGAGGACTGAAAAACCACATCCGATAAACACCAACGTGGACGGAAATGTGTGTTGAGTGATCGAGAGACGAACATTGTGTAGGATTGTGACGAAAAATAAGAAGACTACAGCTGCAAAAGTGACTGGTGAGCTGAATGTCACGCTCACAAACCCTGTCAGCACCAAAACAATAGGAAGGGAACTCCACAAGCGGGGTATTTCTGGACGAGCTGCAATTCCAAAGCCACTCATCAGTGATCAAAATGCCACTAAGAGGACAATGTGGTGCTGAAGTCATAAAACCTGGACTATGAAGCAATGGAAGACGGTCATTTGGTCGGATGAGTCCACCTTCACACTGTTTCCGACTTCTGGCAGAGTTTACGTCTGCAGAACGCCATCCCAAGCTTACGATCCAGACTGTTTGCTGCCATGAGTGAAACATGGAGACCATTTTTGGCGACCAGGTCCATCCCATGGTGCAAACTTTGTTCCCTAATGGTGATGCCATTTACCAAGCCAACAATGCCTGTGTTCACATAGCTCACATCATCCAGGACTGGTTTTCTGAGAACGAAGATGAAGTGTAACATCTGCCATGGCCCCCACAATCGCCAGATATCAATATTATTGAGCCTTTGTGGTCTGTTTTGGAGAGCAATCTGCATGCGCGCTATCCACCTCCATCAGGGGAGTGGGAGTATAACTCCACCTTTCTTGCTCTCAGCACTAGATGGAGGAGAGTGGTCAGCTCCATGCACCTGCCACTTTACCCCTGCCCCCCCCCCAAGGGAAAGAGCCCTGGTACCCATTGGGTAGGAGAAAGAGTGGGCCCCACAGATGGTCTGGATGCTGTGGAGAAGATAAAAATTCTGCACCACTGGGAATCAAACCCCGACTGTCCAGCTCATAATAGTCCACTGCTACACAGACTCCTACAAAGTACTTATATCATAAATAAAGTTTTAAATCAAGGACTTTCGTACTTTCCTAAGTAACAATGATATTAATGTTGGGTCTCTAAACAATTTCTGATTGATAACTTACTATGACAGACAAACATACAGTTGTCCCTGCACTTCATTATCTAAGGACCATGCCATGATGACATATGGGGGAGTGGAGGCATAGCTTCACCATTCTTAATCTCAGCGCTAAATGGAGGTGAGTGGTGAGCGTCATGCTCCAAGTGCTTTACCGCCAGTACTCACCAGAGAGGAGGCTGGGTTGGCCCCATTGCCAGTCTAGATGCTGCAGAGTAGAGTAAAATTCCCTGCCCCTGATTGGAATCAAACCCTGGCCACTGAGTCCACAGCCTGTTGCTATACAAAATCAGCTGGTCTGCAGAAATCTCACAGATCAGAGCTACCTAAAATTTATCCTTTCCAGCACAGCAATTTTGCTTGGGAGAAATGAGAAAAGCATACAAAGTTTTAGTTAGAAACTGCAGAGAAAAGATCACCTGGGAGACCTAGGCATCGGTGAGAAGAAAACATTAAATTGGATCTTAAAGAAGTAGAATATGAAGATGGGGACTGGATTCATCTGGCTCAGGAGAAGGATCAGTGAACATAGCAATAAATCTTATTAAGAGTTCCATAAAAAGTAGGTCATTTTTTGATCAGTTAAATAACTTCTAGGTTTTCCTGTATGTATAATAGTTAATTTACAAAGATGGCATGCCACTAGGCTATCACTCTTTAACATTCTGAGATGAGGCAGACGATGAAAACAGTTCAGTCTCTCAAAAACAATTAAGTTACAATTTATGACACGCTTCCATTTTAAGGACTACGCACAACCTGGTGCTTTTGCTATTAACAGTCATGTCAGCGAACTATGCATATCTGACATAGAAACCTGTGGCCTCCATCTTCTATACTGAAAGTTAACTTACCTCCCTATATCACCTTCAAAAGGTGTACGACTCTGAAACTGTGGTCTCTTCCGTTTAACTCCACCAAAACTGTCAACTGGTTGAAATTCTGGCCCTGAAGTTTGGTGAAAGGGGATGCCGTGTCCTTGACTTGGGCCTGGATTAAGCATACGAACACGAGTGCCAAGGTAACCTTGAGTTAAGGGTGCTGAGTTTGCACTATGTGCACTGCCTATCCATGGATTAGAGGCATAGTCCCAATGACCAGACCTCATGTGAGGACGTCCAGCATCATTCCATTGTGATGGTCCAGGCTGAAATCTGCCTGGCATGGAGAGCTCAGAAGACAATGGCAATGAAGGTGTAAGATTTCTACGCTTATGATGTACTGGCAATCTCTCATCGATGTCTCCAAACCTGGCATCTATAGAGGAACCACCTGCAAGAAAATAATGGCATATAAATTTCACAGTTTGAAATCATCCACATTAACAACTTCTGTGGCATCAACCTACAATCATTCCACCTGTTCACAGGAGGAGGAATGTTTACGTACTTGGCTTGTGGCCAACCTCACTGGAATCACTACAAGGACTAAATTCCGCACTCGTCACCTATAATCAAACTCATCATCAACAATCAATGTTTCTCTGGCATTCTAGGTAGACAAGCACACTGATCATTTTTTAATTCTTACCAGCGTGTGGAAACATAGTTATTTGGTTTACATTCTTCAGACTTTTGCTTTATTTCATCATTACACATCTTGGAAATATGCAATGAGATAAATATGTCCTCAAACTTAAAGACAACTTCTAACACAAGCAAAAATATAAATAAGGTGACAATGTTAATCATCCCAATCCTCAATATATACTGTGAAGACCTCAATAAAATAAACTGGTAACTGGTTATACCTAACGCAGTTCATGTTACAAATGGCCTCATATCCTCTTCAACTGCAGTGCTGAGGGACCGATGCTTTTCTCCAGTATCATCTAATGGGAACACAAAATTCACGATCATTATCATCAACAACTTTATGTGCAGTATGTACTTGCAACAGACTCTTTCACTGATCGTTTCACCAGTATTCTACCAGAAATAAACAACTTTTCTCAAATTGTATGCAGTTCTATATAGGTTCCTGCTAAGTTACAAGGAAAATAGACCTTAGTATTTGTCTCAATACAGGAGATCCTCTGAAAATCTGGACCTAAAAACTTTATCACACCCCGCACCCTTTCAAATAAGCTTCAGGAACTTATGGCCTGAAATAAAGCAATTATTTGCAGAATGTTCACACCCTACAAGATATGGAAAATGGAAAAATGTGGGTATGATTATACTCCAATGCAACATTTTTGATGTGAATGCACTGATACTTTCACACTCATTAGAGAATTAAACTAAAACTCAGAAAAGTAAATTATATGTCAATCTGTTCAAGCTTACCTGGCAACTTGTGATAAAGAAGTGGTCGTCCAAGTTTATCAAACTTTCCAGTACTTCTGTGAAAATTTGACAATCCTCTGTCCCTGGGATTTCCATAGATCATGTCTCTTTCTCTCAGTTGCGAACTGGACCCTACAGCCGAACTACGTGATTTTTGTAGATCAAGTTCGTCACGACCAGAACAACCCATGGGGCCCAGTGGAGATTTATATGTATCTGGTTTCTTCTCCTTATATTTTGCCCAACCTCGAGACTTTAGTTCATGTTCAATATTCTGTTTACCATCGTCTTCACTAATGGATTTGCATTCATCCGTGCGGACTTCAGACTCCTCACTTTCTCTCTCAGGTGATGGCTGCTTTAAAGATGAAGCAGTGTTCGCTGAACTATCCTGAGACGATGCTGATGTTGGAATAGGTGGAGACTGTGATGGAGGTACATTCTCCATGACAACTGGTGCCTTGCGAGGTAAATGTTGAAGATCAACATCTTCATTTCTAAACAATCTGAAAATGAACCAGATGAATGCTAAATTATTAACATGAACTTTAAACGTTCCACCAGAAAAGTATTGAGAGCATTTGGTATACTTCTAGAATACTTGCATTATAATGATTCATATATGGGAACTGATGAAATATGACTGCTTGCCTGATGTTTTTGACTCAACAAAGCAGTAGGCAGAACTTCATGACAGTCACATATCAATGAATCACAGGGCCCATTTCTCTAGGATATGAGACTCTCTGAGAAGATATATGACACTGTGGTTTGAAAAAGTGTGTACTGTAACTATATATACCATGGCATATTAACTAATCATAAAAATTTCCTGAGTATCCTAAATTCAATTAAAATGTCATACATTTCTGAAACTGAGTAAGAAACATATGTGGCAATGCAATGTACACGTACTTAATCTTAAGGCACCAGCTGAATAAAAATGATCTGAATCACTGTGCCAAAATCCACATTATCATTAATAACTTCTCCAGTATATGATTCTCTAAAGGTTTGTGACACTTTCTGTTCATAAACACTATGCTAAATGCTGTTTCAGAAGCTGGATCTTCTTCCACCGTCAGGTGTAAGTGGGGAAAAGGATCTTACCCAGTTTAGCCTGTTAGGAATTAGGCTCAACCAGCAGGCAAAGTGACTGTTGTCTAAAACCAATAATTTCCGCCTAGCTCATAATGATGTAAGTATTCAGATCTGCCCTCTAAAGTGCCTCATGCCTTCTCATGGCATGCCATTTTCACTAAAATGCCTCTGGGACAATGTTACTACTGACAGGTTTTCAACTGTTCCTTTCAGTCCTAACAGGCATATTAAGGGATAGTACTTTAAATTTGGCCATGATCACCTCCTTCCACATCCTTTCCAATTCATTACTATCATCCAAATATCTGACACTATATCCAATACAGAGAGTGGCTCAAAAGTCAGTTAACCTAAAACATTCTCTTCTATTACTGGGAAGGTTCAGATTTAAACCTGCCAGTCAATTTGCAGAACAGTATCACAATGTTGTGAGTCATACACTAAACAAGGAGGACCTTATTTCAAAAAAATTATGTAAATTCACTCAGTAATATGAAGAAATTTCTAATATGCTTTAGGGCACATTTTACTAACCAGTTTGGTTTTGCGTCACACTGTTTATGGTGCAGCATGAGATACTGATACCATTATTAAATAAACTTTAAAGAAACAAACATGTTCAGATGCTAATTAACTTACTCATCAAATACTTCTGCTTTTGTTTTCTTTGGCGGTGGCTGCTCTCCTATTTCCGTGGATGAACGTTTCCTGCTAGGTGACCCAGGAAGTTGACACAAATCCACATCCTGATTTGCAGCTTCTACAAGTCGTTCTGGAATGATAATTATACCGATTATAAAACTGATTAAATATTATTTCAGAACACAGGCAGACCAACGAGGAAAAACCTGCTCTGAAAACAGTGCCACTTTACATCATTATCCTGCTACCACAGCTGTTCAAGGTACATACATAGTTCCCTGCAGCTGTGTCAGAATTGTTTCTATAGATATGTTAATTTGACATGGTAAAATAAATAAAAGCTTTAACAATTTATATATTCTTTTATGTCTTCGTCAACAGAAGACATGTTTTTACCTCATAAACAATGCAAAACTGTATCCTCTGTTGATGTAGACATAAAACCTGTTTCAATCTATTTATTCTGTCTTATTACCATACCAAGTTACAAGACTTCTTGAAACAAATCTGACACAGTGAATGCTAAACTACAAATGCACATCTGATGACTGTATACATCAACACAGGATATATACGTTTACCTGCTTTACCAGGTAATATGTACCTTGTATTCATGTAGACGGAAAACATTATATGAACTGCATTAATTAAAATACCAGAAAATGATATAATTAAAAACATATTAATCAATGAATACAAATTTGCTTAGAAGAAAATTCTGAAGTATAAAACTAACTACAGTTAATGAGGAATTACTGAAAGTGTAATTGAAATTTAAGAAAATTACTTCACAATAACAGTTATCTGCAATAATAAAAAAATCCAATGACATAAATGGTTGGATTACAATTAAAAAGAAAACTAATAGGAAATGCATAATTTAATGCAAAAATTAAGTTTATTTTTAAATTTGATTTTATAACTAAGACTGTGAATAAGTCCTTCATAAACATTCTAATCCTAGTAACTGATACCAAATGAAGAAAAGTGTGTTTATGTCATATTTCTCTAATCAGTTCAAACAAATCAAAACCTATTCAACTGGCATTAAAAAAATGTGATTCCAACTTATTACTTTATTCTTGGGGGTAATGGGTGGCCACTGCATAACGCTGACAAACCTACTGCCTGCCATCTATGAGCAGATTTCCAATGGCAGCATGGGGCAAGCAAAATTAAGAAATATTAATCTACTGAAGCCAAACTTTCAACTGTGTTATTTTGTAACAATCATCATGGCACAACAGTTGTGTAACGTGTATAAAAGGAAAAAATGCAGAACTCTATCTAAATTGTGCTTCATTAAGATAGCGTTCCGCCACATTTCCAAATAAAATAAACTGCTGAAATAAGATCTAAATCCAGTTATATGTCATACAATGAAGTTCTGGTTGGATGAAAAATGCTTTTCTATAAAATGGATATAAAAACTGTGTATTTTTCCTGTCTTTCTTGGCAAGAAACCACAACAAACACCACTGTTAGACAAATCTGTGTATTGTCATGGTCATCACCTCACAGGGACTGAGCTTCTCATCAGGGAGGAGGGGGTGGGGTTGTAGATTTAATATCAAAATAAATGAAAATATGGCCAAAATGGTCAGCTGATCTGACAATCAATACACCATATCAACTAAGTAACTAATGACTTATAAGACATATCTCAAGCCTGTCAATACACATCTCAAAGTTCAAATTATATCCTTATTTTCATAAATAAGCTGGGATAGCGCAGTCAGTATAGCAACTGGCTACAGACTGCACAGCTGAGGGGTCAGAGTTCAAGTCCTGGTAGTGGCAAGATTTTTCTTCTCTGCACATCGCCCAGACTAGCACCGGGGCCCACCCAGCCAGCTATCCAATTGGTACAGGGGGCTCTTTTTTTTGGGGTAAAGCAGTCAAGGTGTGAAGCTGACCACTCAACTCTAACTACAGCTGAGTTCAAGAATATGTAGATATATATACGGCCACTCCTAAACGTGTCTTCATGGCATAGTGCTTAACTAGTTGAGCACAGAGAGAACTTCGCCTTTTTTTAAATCTTACTCATTTTCATAACAATGGTAATACTGTAATAATAAAATATCTTTAATGGATATAGCCAAAAGTAAGACAAGGTGCTTGCTACAGTAATAGCAAGTATTAAAAAGTGATCAGCTCATTTAGCACAAGTCTGTGGCAGCATAAATTAATTTGCCTAAAATATGAATGAATATTTATATTAAATCTGCACAAGTGAAAAAGTTTTACATTTATTTTGTTTTTTAGCTGGCCCATGTCTGCCAGTATGGATTTTTAAATATTTGACTTTGTTCAGTCACTGAAATAAGGATAATTGTATGAGGTGTGAAGGGCATATAATGGATATGAACATAGCACTACGAGTATTATAGCCTTCATAGAAGCACTCCTTTTCTTCAAATAAAATAGTCTACTTAAATGCAGTCCAACAAACCAAGGGAAAAAAAGTAACAAATTTATCTCACAAAGTTCTGGGGGATGATGATGATAACAATAATCAACTCTGATTCTCCACCTATCTTGCACAGATCTAAGATAACTAAAAAGTTTATATTGTTCTTCAACTGAAGTAAAGATCCTAAATAGTCACAATAACCCACTCTCACATTTTCTTAGCAATTTTTTCCTGCTTCTCTGTAAATAACAAACACTGTCAGAACTCCAACAGCTTGGCAGACGTACTATGTCATCTTCTGCTGATATGCAAGGAAAACCTAACACACATTGCATAACACATTTCATAAATAGGGCATGACAAGAACTAAATACAAGTATATAAATTGCTTCTGTTGTGACTGATTTGAATATAAATAATTTGTTTTCTAAGCTGGGATAGCTCAATCAGTACAGCAACTGGATGAACAACCAAGGTTTGACTACCAGTATGGGGCAAGGGATTTTTCTCTTCTCCACAGCATCAAGACCGATTCTGGAGTCCACTCAGCCTCCTATCCAGGTATTCTCCACACCTTCCAAGGGGGGGGGGGAAGAGACCAGGACATGAAGCTGACCGCTCACCTCTATCTAGTGCCGAGGTCAAGAATGGTGCAGCTATACCTTGAATCCCTCAGATGTCTTCATGGTAAAACATTTAATTGACTTGGCACAGGGACAACTTTACTTTTACAGTGTATTTATTTTAACCACTTCATCACTGGAAAGTTAATTTGAAAATTAGTTTGAAATCCCTTGCAATAATCTGACAGAATGAACATGAACATTTTTACTCCTCATATTCTTGTTCACAAAATATATTTCATAATAGAAAGTTCCCGCCTGACTGGATGATACAGTTAAAACTCATATTGAAGAAACTTCTTTTGAAAGATTTCCCACACAGAATTTTATAAGAGTTTAAAACTGAAAAACAAATGTGAAAAAAGAAAGGAATGTTGTGTGGAAAAAAAGAGATGTGGATAAACAGAAAGAAATCCAATGCATAAACAAACAGATCACAGATAAACTGTGCTCATGAGTGGTTCCACATGCTGATATAAAAACAACAGATGTCTTAAAATGCTTCTGCCTGATTCAGCATACTTTACACATTCAAATTATATATAAATTAAGTTGGATTTCATGCACTCAACAGTATGAGTACAATATTCTGGGGTGTAATGCTGTGAAGTCCATGAGTACACAGACATTCTGAAAGGACATAGCCTCCACCTTCAGGATGAAAAGTAGGCCAAGCAAGAAGCAGGTGGCAAGCAAAGTGCTTAGCTTGCTGTCTACCTGCTTGGATTATTCTTCATCTCTGAAGATGAAGACACTATGTTCCTCTGAACTCATACTGAAGGGCAGAGCTTGCTGCATACTTCATGTTGGTTTCTTGGTTAGCTTCAACCCTGAAGATGGAGATGCCACATTCATCTAAAACGTCATGTGACTTCCAACAGACTACATGGCGTTTTCCCCAAATGATAAAACTCTTCAATATCATTGCTGTGAATACCTCCAATCCCTCCAATCCAATTTCTCTTCCTATCTTATATCCCAGCACAAGTCCTCCGTATTCTTCAAATGCCAATAATGCACATATTTTTAAAAAAAATTCTTTATTTGAAACTGGCAGATGAATAAAGAGCATAAGGATGTATTATTTATTTATGATATTAAACTGCAGATACTATTTGCAGTATTTTATATAATATTTTACTACACTGGTGGAAACAAATATTGGATATTTTGTTCACATTGCAAACTTTCACAATTAGCTTAGCTACCAAGTGACAAAACTGTATCACATTATCTCTTCTCTTGATATTCCAGACTTCTCCGTGAAAGAGTTCATAATGGGAAGGAAATACGTGATTTCTTTTTAACATTACTACGTATCTCATTTTGGTTCCTGAGCTTTCGTACTTCTATGCATACCAGATTTTCCTGTGCACAATTATGCAACTGAGTAATGTGCAATATTATACCTTTCTGCAGAGCTTCAATTTATTTGCATACAATTACTCAACACTGG